AGGACATCAGACGTTGATCAGGGGCCAAACCATTTAATGTTGGAGGTGGGGGTGGAGGGCAACTCCAAAGATATTAAGGACAGTTCAGACGAAAACAAATTAAAACTTCTAACTCAAATATTGCACTGTTTCTTTCCATTAATAGCCCTTCTTTGGGGAAAAAAATCCAGAATTCAATTAGAATTAAAAAACAAAAGGTGATCAGTGGGAGGTGACATTGCAACCACATTTTATAGAATACTAAGAGTTATATAACACTATTGTTTTAACAGAAGATCCTGAGAAGTTCACCATCGCTCTGTTTTGGAAGAACCCTGAGATTAACAAGAAGATTCTACATCTCATCCTCAGTAATGACAACGGTTTTGTCACAAGACAAAATAACTTTTTTGTTGTGGAGAGTTGCTCATTCAGAATCATCAGCACTGATCATTTCTTTGATGAGGACTGTCTGTGTCCAGACCAGCAGGTGATTGACTTACTAGCACATTGCTATCCTGGCCTTCATCTGTTCATACTGGCAATAGATTCAGAAAATGTTCAGGTGGAAAAAATTGGTTCTCAAATTGGTAAACTTCAAGATATCTTTGGACAAACGATCACAAAACACTTAGTTGTCATGTTTGATAAGTATATGAGCAACACGTCACTCGATCAGCTGAAGGAAAAGTTCAACATCAAGCTGGGAACCCTCAGTGAACATCTGGTCCACGACTGTATGAAGTGGTGCAAAACCCGTCTGGTATTCCAGTGTGACTACGGAGACTACAGTGAAAAAGTCCTGAAAAGAAGGAGAGAAGAGTTCAAATGGACAAGGTAAAGACATCAACATTTATTATGTGTGGTTAATGTGGACAGTAAGTCTCATGTTATGAAGCTTGTGTTCCTCTGAGTATTTTCTAACGGTGGGTTTCTGTGGAGTTGTGTCAGGAAAGGATGTAGTTCTTCTAGTATTTCTGACACAACTTATGGGTCGATGGTCACTGATACCCAGAGGAACAACAACAATGGCAGACTAATTGAGGGGTTTGTTATAATGTGATCTATTATTGTAGAAAAGAGCAAATGTCTTTAAGTTCATCAGATCTGTTAGGTCTCCATATTAAATAGTTCAGAAGATGCACAAGTTGACCACAAGCGCTCCTCCAAAACCTCAGTGATTCAGACTGAACGGGTATTTTCTCCAACACATACTTCAGAGCAACATGGGCAAATTTCTGAAGAGGTTTTATTTGTTGATATTAATACACCACATCCTGTTCTTTACTTACATAGATAAATGAGTTATATCCAGTCATAGGTTTGTCTCCATCTTTGTATATTGCAATTGTCTGTGTCATGAGAGGATGAACATTTCAGGTGTAGTTTTAGTATTGTTTTTTTTTTTTTGTCTGCCGTTTTCCCTGTATTATAGTGGACAGTGGAGAGAGAGACAGGAAATGTTGGGAGAAGAGTCGAGGGAGGACATGCAGCAAATGAGCCACTGGCCGGACTCGAACAGCGACAGCTGCGTTGGGGACTTTCACCTCCTGCATGGGGGTCAACCGCAAAACCCACCGAGCTACCAGATGCCTCCTTTAAGGTGTCGTTTTGTCCTACTAACAATACAGTCAATCAATACAGCAATAGATACCAGTTTGGTTTACTAAAGGAGTACCATGATTTATCTTTCCAGAAATTTCCTTTTGCTGAGAAAATCCTCTGAAAACACAAGCTAGCTCCAAAAGAGGGCAGGATTTACACTGTCAACAGATGCATATGTGATATTTTGTTTGGTATAAGTTTGTAGTAATCTATATTATGATTATTGTTTCAGAAACAAAGACCCTCCTCCATATAACCATGAGAGATCAGGTGTGTCTATGTTCTACACATATGTTGTGACAATAGGTAATGTTTTAATACTATCATTAGCAATTATATTTTGTGATATAATGGAAAAAAAAAAAACTACATTAAAAAAATTACACTTATCTACTAATGTTATCAACATAATCCACCTAGTGTTTGGGCTCAACAAACAAATTTAACGCAACAGTTTGCATCAGTCTCTTTGAGTTATGACCATTTCTAATGAATTTCAGTTTAACTAACAAACTCTGTTAAGTCAGAGGTAGAAGCTTTTCTGCTACAATCAATTTTATTTTTAATTGATTGACTTTCACGTCTAAAGTTAGGACAGTGGAGAAGAGACATGTCTGTGTAGGTTCACAGTCATCCAAGTCACAGTAACTGTAGGTACTGTAGTAGAAGTTAACTGGACATTTTTGGATAACTGTGACATAAAATGTCGCAAGTATTGGATCATTGTTGTTGTTTTTATGAACAATAACTCATGTTGTAGTTATATTTGCTGATACCTGTGTCATTTACATTTCAATCCTGCAGGTCCCCACGCTGCTTCACCATGTGAGTAACACCTAAAACTTTTCATTATTTTGTACTTGTTTTGTAGAACGTCACTATTACTACTACTATATATATTTAGGCTTAACTCAGACTGCCAGACATTGTTGCTTAAAAATACATTCTGTCTCAAATGTTCAAAGTTCTGCATACTTCAGTGTTTGTCCTCTCTAGTGCACAAATGTGTGTTTTTGTTGTAAAATATGTGCATGTTACACTTCTCCTCAGGTCCAGCAAACTTGCAAAGTACCAGCAATGTACGTACAGAAACAGAACCAGAACAAACCATTGGTACGCTTTAGAAGATAAAACACAACACATATAACCAATTCTAAAAAGATAGAAACTATGATTATGTTAATTTTGCATTATCCCTTTGCTAATTAAAAAATTCAGGGGTAAAATAAGACAAGATATCTAAGAGTTTCATGATTCCTTTCAAAGCTGATCCCACCCACAGAAACTGTTGGTAACTGTTGATGAAATAACTGGAAATTATGACCAACTGTTTTTTACAGATGAGAGCAACAATTTAAGGTCAGAAGATACCTTCAACATTGTTCTGCTGGGAGTAACTGGGACTGGAAAGAGTGCATCTGGAAACACCATCCTGACTGCTATGGACCCCCATCTGGAACCAAAGCAGCTTTTTGCATCCCGGCCGAGCTCCACACCAGTCACCACTGAGTGTCAGGTCAAAATGATGGACAATCTTTTCGGCAGGAATGTCAGAGTGGTCGACACCCCAGATTTCTTGAGTGATGAAATAAACGATCAGGAACAAGTAGAGGAGTGTAAGAAGTTCTGTCAGCCAGGGCACTATGTGGTGTTACTGGTGATACAGATGGGCCGGTTTACAGAAGGTGAGGAGGGAGTGTTAGAGAGACTGGAGATGAAGCTTGGCTGCAGAATCAGGAAGAACACAATCGTCCTGCTGACACATGGAGAGAAAGCAAAAGGCAATGTTCAGAGTTTCATTGATGAACGGTCTCACCTCAGGTACATTATAGGTAAATGTGGAAATCGCCGCCATGTATTCAAAAACAACTGCAAGGACCCAAAACAAGTCAAGAAGCTCTTCAAGAAAATTCCAGATTATGAAACAATCTTCCCAGACTTCACAGAAAAACAATCACTCATAGACTGCCGTGTGGGTTAACTTGATTCAGACTGAACGTCCAAATAACAAACTGCTTCCAGCCTCCGTGTACCAGTCTGCGCAATGTTTGAAGTACAAGTGTGATCTGTTGATGCTGTGAACCTGCAGTTAAGGTGTCGTATGTGTCAAGATCTGGTTCTATGTGCATACTTATATATTTTATGTGTTTATACATATAATGTCCTGATGGTAATTCATTTAAGCTGTTTGAGAGATTAAAGGAATCTTTTGAGATTCATAACTCAGATAATAAGAAGGATGTTAGTTTCATCACTGTGTGTTCTGTATAGAGAAAAGTCCAAAACACAGCTGGGCAGCAGTCCTGCTGTGTTATTTCAGACAGTTTTGCTGATCTACTGTACAAATTTAGAAAAGGTATGCTGTTTAATTTCTGCTTTTTCTGTGATTGATGTTTACATAAAACTAATCAATGAGCTTATAAAGAGAATGCAGTGAATAATAAAACTAAACTTAATGCACAACTCTGTGAAGTATTGATCAGCTGTGGTATTTCATCATTCCAATAGAGGACGTGTATAATAAAGGAAAGTAACAGACTTTTCCTGGAAGCTGTATAGCTGATGATTGCATAGTTAAATCATGTAGCCAATTGTAAAGCACACAGTAATATTAACAACAAGGTGTAAAATAAAATTAAACAATTACTCTGTCTTGATAAACACCTGAGGAAACAAGACTGTCACGGTACGCGGGGAACCCATGCAGAGAGCACACATACACAGCAGAGACAGGACACGGCTTTACAAAGATCTATTTATTCAGAATAACTGAGGTGGAGGACCAGGGACAAAATGACCTGAAAACTCTCTAGCGGCTGGGCGGGGGATGGACAGGCTCCTGGGGACCAGCAGTCTGAGAAGCGCACACCGATGGAGAAGGTGGGCGGCGGAGAGCGGCAGTGGTGGTCCGAAGAGTGGGCCAGGGGGGAGCTGATGCCCTTCAGGACGGGGTTCTGGGAAATCCGAGGCTGTTTAGTTTTTTAAAAAATAAAATAAAAAAGTACACTTCATCGATGTTGTGATTATTTTACTGGTGTGGTGAATGAAAAGGAGATTAACCCGTTAATCGCTAAATTACAGAAATTTACTAAATACAAGAATTATGAAGTGAAGCAAAAGCACAATGGAAAATAAAAACAGCATCACAAGTTTTGAACATGAAGCGCCCCCTGGTGGAAGTTCTGATAAATGACACAAACACACTAAAAGCAGTTCCATACCATGGCCACAGGAAAGTGTCGAATGCACCATTTTGAACCGCTTTCATTGTATTTTTCTGCTTTATAATAAAGCGTTTTACACCTGACGTTCTACCTGTGGTTCGTGTCTGCTTCAAGGTTCTCAAACCGGTCCCAACAACCATAACTTGTGTCCAATAAATGGTAAACAACTAACTAAAAAGCCATTTTCAAAAAAAGATATGAACAGTACTCTAGAGGAAAACTAATTGATTTAAAGGCGTCTCTCATAGTCCTGTCTTTAGGGAGGTCTGTGGTCGAGGCAAACGTTGCTGACAGTGAGCTGTAGATGAACACCAGGGGCCTGCACTATGAAGTGAGATCAACATACCCAGGATATCTTTCAGAGATCCGGTTTAACTAACTTTAATAATATAACTCAGGATAACTGGTCCTACGACAGTGGTTTTCAACTCAGTAAGTCAACCCAGGTTTGTCTGATCTGACCATGAGCGCGTGCACATAATGTGGGCGGACCAATCACGACTGTGGACAAGTCTGGCTGCAGAGCGGCTCACTTTACCGCCAAGGAGCAGAATATATATATATATATAATCTGTACAAAATATGAAGAATAATATAAAAACATAAGAGGAGCAAAAAGCAGCCCCTTGCAGCGACCAAAGCCAGGAAGGAATGCTGGCGGGAAGCTGCTGACTGTGTGAATGCATCAGTTCATTAGTTTCTAATAAAATATGATCACTGTTCCATCATGAAGACACGTATCAGACAATAAGCACATCTGAGGATTCCTTTAACTAATGTGCTGCCTAATGTATAGACTTGTGGTGCATCTGACATTTTTTACATTCAGTTACAGCCCTGGTGGTGGAAAAAAGACGTGGGAACACATTAAGAACAAACAGACACATAATTCAAAGCGGTGCAGCTCATTAACGTATCCTACAAATACAAGCTTTAATGCTGAAGTCAGTTTACTGCTATGGGGTGATATTGGTATGGAAATAAAATATGAAATAGCTTTGACATTGTCTGCAGCCAACAGGGAGAAAATGAATGAAGGAAGACAGGAGCTCATAGAGATCCTGGTCAGGGTGCTCTGTTCTGCTGGTCCCGAAAAACCCTCACAGTCCTCAGTGATCCCTCACAGTTCAGCTCCGATGTGTAGCGGCTCTTCTATAAATGCCGGTGATGCCATTATGTTGAGAAGTGCTTTACGGGAGAGAACTGGTTTTCAGTGGAGGTGTTTTTATACCCAGTGATCTCAACCTCGAACATAACAAAGCCGTTGAGCATAAGTTACCATGGTGATGGACCCGGTAAGAAGTGAACCACCGTCGTAGGACCGAAAACCCAGGATTTAACCTGAAGTTACCTCGCTAACCCTAAATCCTGCTTCTTCATACAGGCCCCTGCTGTTGTATTAACACTGTATACTATATGAGCTTCACAGTCTGATGTTTGCTGCCCCCAAGTGGACGAATCAGTTCTTGCAAAGTACTAAATCTGCCGGGTTTACAAGGTGAACATAAACCCCTTTAAATTCATTGTTTCTGTTTAAAAATAATTACTTGATGTGATTGTTTTTCCATGATACTGTTGAAACCTTCATATGATCATTGATGGATGAAAAACTTTGACCCTGTTGGTCCTGGCAGCTGGCGGACTTTGGTCCTCAAAGTAAACTTTCCATTGTCAATTAATCCACTTATTTTACATGCAAAGTAAAATCTGACAAACTTAGTGCTTTTTGGCTATAGGGAAGCAGAATGACAAACAACACACACACACACACACACTTGATGCAGACAAAAATACACAGAAATTCTCAATTAAGCCATGAATTAAAATGAGTGAGAAAACAGCAGCAGGTCAGAATATAGGATGTAGTGATATTAATCAGATCAATAACAGCTCTGTGCATGGTGGACGAAAACAAGAAAAAGGAACGGCAAGAATATGTTGATTAAAAAACGTATTTCTAACACGCTACAAACGTAAACCAGGACAAATTAAGCTTCTATTAACTGAGAATGCAGTTCAGTTGTGTGAGTGTTTTAAGTAGTTTGTTTCACTTTCACCACTACAGAAATGGTGCAGCGAGGACTTCAGATGTGAAGAACAGTCTGGAACTTGGGACACTTTGGTAAAAGGACTTTATTGACTCTGTGTTGTGTCAGTTAGGACAGATGAGCTCATGCAGGAGGTTTCCAGCTGAAGCTTTTTTATTTTAAGGCAGTTTGAGCTGGTCTGTCTGACGAGAGAATAAAATAATAAAGAATATTAAAGTTGATGTAATAATTCCTGATTGAAACAATCAT